TTCTCTGGTTCTTTCGATTACTGTTTTCATGTTGTCTATTTGTATTTTACTGTTCTGTAATCGGGGCTCGGGTAACCGGGTGCTCTAACAGGCACGCTTCTTTCGATTACTGGTCTTTTCGTTAATATTCTCTGGTTCTTTCGATTACTGTTTTCATGTTGTCTATTTGTATTTTACTGTTCTGTAATCGGGGCTCGGGTAACCGGGTGCTCTAACAGGCACGCTTTAGATCATAAGGTCTGTCATTGAGTGTCATGGTTTCTATCCCAGACTTGTATGTGACAAGGAATAGGTTATTGTACTTAATCCCGAGGGGATTATCCGTGCTCACTGGAACCCCTGGCTTCCTTCCACACGCGATTTATTTAAGATATATCATATAATGATAGTTTCCAGGCCTGCGCGTGACAGGTAGTACGAGAGCTTTTCTAACCCCGTCGGACTTCTCCCTGTACTCCGGAATCACTGGTGTCCTCCCGTTACCAACGGGGTCACGGTGGCTAAGTGGGTAAGACGCCGGCTCGCTAACCTGGAGGTCGGACGTTCGATCCCTGCATTGGCCGAGAAAGTTCATCCAGATTTTCAGGCGTGGTTCCCTCTTTTCAGTGATGCAGGACGGAGGGCCTGACAAGGACAGCTGACTAGTCGTTCGAATGGGACAAAAAACAGAGGTCCCGTGTACATATTGGCGTGCACGTAAAAGATCCCTTGACAGTTGAAATTCGATAGAAAAGTAGGACGTAGTGCTGCTGTCCGGGCAAAATTTCCCTCATGGCACACTGTATGACGTATGCCCGTCATCATTAGCCCAGTTCGGAGCAGAACAGTAGGACGTTAAACCCCATTTTATTTCATTTCCCGCTACCAACGAGCGAGCTGAGTGTTTCAGTGTTGTATTATTCACCTTGCTGGTATGAATCAGGGTGTATTCTTCATGATCTCATGTTATCAATGTGATTATAGTTTGTGGAAGATATAAAACCAGATGTTTCTGTTTTCTGCAATATCTCATCCTTATCTATACCAATATCATCACAGTAACCTTGTATACATTAGGGTTTGGGATTCGTTTTACATTTTTACACATTTTTCTGCGAAACACGGTGTGGTAGTCGAGCGGTCAGAGCACTAGATTCTCTACTAGAATGTCCCGGCTGTGGCCCTCCAGGCTGAAAGGGCTATCCTTGCATGTATAGACTATTTTCACACCAGTTAAAGGACGTTTTAAACCCCGGCAACTGGACTACTTGGACTACTGTCTAGTACTGTTCACAACGCAGTTTTACCCCGGGGTTATAGCTTCATACGGATCGTGATCGCCTTCTCTTCTTTTATCTTCCTTTTCTTCTCTTCTTGTGGACACTTCGTTTACCGGAAGTAACCGTTCATGACCGCAATCAGACGTTCATCACCGCAATCAGACGTTCATAACTGTAACTTGACGATGTTCGTTGGAAACCCCGTCTGGTTGTTCTAATAGAACCCAGTCGCTTTCAAATACTGAAATCTGTCTCGTCCACACGATAACTTGGCCAATTTAAGAGTTGTTTCATATACACGCCAATAGGTGGACCTAATCAAATTACAAACTCCCTTTGTCAGCTGACAAATGGGCAAGATCACCGAAGGCGCTGCTCGGCCTATAATGGAATTCGGATCCGAGACACTCTAGTTGAGGGTCCATTGCTCAGATTACTTACCCACTGTGGCCCCACTGTTAAAACGTATAAGCTCTGGTAAAGTGGGCGGAATACAATGTTCTATACGCAACGCAAATTCACTCCATTAAAGATTTAATTTTCTACCCATTTGTTTATAATTACTGGTAATCAGGACTTTGTGATCTCTAACCTTAATGTTTGTTTATAGTTAAATTTAGTTATTCTATTAACCTACGCTCAAGTTTCATTAGCCTTTAAAACGGAAATTCAATTAACTTTCAAGTCTGGTGCAACCCGTATACCTTATAATCAAATTATCTATAAGCCGGAAGTATGGTCGTCAAACTTCACGTTTAAGACAGATTGTGGGCTAGTTTGTGTTATCTGCATTCGAATCGATACCTATAAATCTCTGAACCCAACAGTCTTAGTCGTGAGATCGCAACCTTAATCAGAAACAATGAGCCGTAAATTGTCTCGTTGCTTTGAACGTCTGTTCAGCACTGACATTTAAGCGCGATTCAAAGTGGCAATTTGGTCTCAGTCGCAAGGTATGTCACTCGATCAACATTTATTTCGTATGAAGAAGGGAATAAGTATTAGATATTTCTGTGTTCCCACATAAATCTGTCTATACGGAAATGACAATTGCTTTCTTGTATGGTAATGGGGAGCCGTGGTGGATGAGTGGGTATGTCGGTGTTGCCGAGGAATATCCTAGGGATTTTCCAGCGTCGTGCAGAATGGAGTGATAAAATGGGGTTTACCGTCCTACTGTTCTGCTCCGACTGGGCTAATGAAGACGGGGATACACGATACAGTTTGCTATGGGAGAAATTGTGCCCGGACAGCGGCGTGACGGCCTACTCTTATATCGAATTCCACCTGTCAAGGGATATTTTGCACGCCAATTTGTACACAGGATCTCGGTTTTTCGTCCCATCCGAACGACTAGATAGCTGCACACTAACAAGAGGGAACCACGTTACATATCAATGAATGAAATGGAGTTTATCTGCTCAATGAAGAGGGTCCATACGCTAAGAGGGAAATTGTGCCCTTTTCCGCCTATTCTTCATTCATCGATCCCAACCGATCTTCGGTTTTTCGTTACATCTGACAAGAGAAAAACTAGCCTGGAAAATACCTAGAAATTTTCTTGGCCAACACTTGGATCAAACCTCGGAATGCCCGGTTAGAGAGCCAGCGACATACTCACGGATCCACCGTGACTCCCCTTCGAAGACGTCCCCCAGTTAATTGAAGTACGATAAACAATATATGACCCATAAAAGAACCTTGCTGAGCTCTCCGTTATATATGTATTGTAATGTTGTATCATTGAAGCTACCATTATGTTGGTTCCATCTCCAAACCCACCGAGCCAACGTGGTTTCCTTTTGACGACCAGCCCTGGTTAGTACGATAAACAATATAGGACGCATACCAGATCCTTGCCCTACTCCCCGTTGTATATATCATTGCAGCTACCATATTTTGGTTCTATTTCGAGACGAACAAGAGATTAAATATTTATATTAAGACTTGTCAACTGATTTATTTGATTAATTTAAAGAATGTGAGATACGCTCGACAAAAAACAAGGAGCAGTAGAAATAAATACACACGCTCTTTCAAAAAGATTTATTAAAATAACTAAAATTGCCGTCTTCAAAGAGAATGAGTGACAAATGATATATGTTAAAGAAAATAAACGAGATAAGTAAATTGCATAAATTAAATATTAGTTTAATACTAACGGTGAAAAAACAAATACTAGCTATAGGGTAATAGTGTACAGTTAGCTCTTATTAAAGGAGTAACATTGTTATTAATTTATAATGACCAACCACGCCCAACTATGACAGAACATTGCCCGGACAGTGGCGTTTTCGTAATCTCGTCGTCGAATCGCAACTGTCAGAGGTTCGTTTATCACATCACCTCAGTTTTTTGCCCCATACGAACGACGTTCCATCCCGTTGCATACACACCAAGACTAAATAGACATTTTCAATTTTATCACATGTGAAAATGGAAGGAAATGGTTTATTATGATTTTCTATCTATATTTTATCTGTACCCTGCTATTTTATTTTTTAAAATCCTATTATCTTGTTTCAACAATTTGTTTAATTCTTCTTTTTTTATGATTTTCTATCTATACTGTTTTACATTGAGTACTCATAATCATATATTTTTTTTGTACAAGCGCCACAGAGCAGCTTTACAAGCTGGATTTTGGCGCTATACAAATTCAATAAATGATTATTATAGTTTGTGTTTTCGATTAAAATCATCGCCCAAATGAGAATTAAAATGTCGATCGACTAACTTCGTGTCTGTTCGCAAGCGGGACAAGCTGTAGAAAGATAGCGTAAGCTTAACAGCCCTTGTTGATCGTAATCTATGTACTTATTCTTTGTTGTTGTCGCTTTAAGGATGGGGTGAACGTAAGAAAGGTAATATGGAGGGGCTTACCTGTACAAAGCTGTGTGCTATACCCCGCAGAACGGTATATTGTGTCATTAACAGTTTCGTAACAGTTGCTAACACCTCCACCCAAAATATCTCTTTTATATTCAATAAATACAAGTACTGACAAATACACGCTAAATTCATCCTGCACAGCGGGAAAATCTGACTTTCTGCTCGTAGGTGAACTTCACACTGTCAAATATACATTCATCAGAATTCAAATTAATAAATGGGATTAAAAGATGGTCGAATGCGCTAATGATCCACCACTTTACATTTATAAAGGGAAGAACTTTCCAAAACAATCCATGGCGATAGGCCACAAAAAGATGAGCCATTTCCGGCTCTCCTAGATCGTGTCTGGGATATCACTATTCTGGATGGAAAGTGTGCATTTCTTAAACCCTTCTCACGTTCATAAGAATTCAGATTAATAAATGGGATTAGAAGAAGGTCGAATGCGCTAATGATCCACAACCTCAAATAATGGAATAGCACTATTCTGGATGGGAAATATTCATTTATCAAGCTCGTCTCACTTTTTAAGAATCAAATTTAATAATGGGATTAACAGAAGGTCAAAATTCTTGAATGCTCTAATGGTTCACCACCTAACACCATGTGTCTTTATTTATAAAGGGAAGAACTCCGAAACTAAACCAATCCGTGGTCATAGGCTGCAAAGGGAAAGATGAGCCAGTTTCGGCTGAGATTGCACTATTCTGGATGGTTTTCGCCAAGTGGTATAACATGTCCTGCGCAAATGGCAATAAACCTAGTGAATATTATCCACAAAGCTGTCTGTTATTACTTGAAAAAGGTTGAGTCCATATTAATGTGATGTTTTTATTAATTTTTCAGGTGTTATGTGCGTCTCGAGATAAATATTCAACTGGTGAAGATGCCGATAGATTGTGTAAAGTACGTATATAAATTATTGTCTTTCGATTTACCTTATATGGTTGCTGTGAAAAAAAAGCTTCCTCAATAATTTGGAATTTCCAAACATCAGTCCTGAAAATCTGGATATCTTTGTCAAATTTGGAAATGAAATAAAAAAGAAATGAAATTTGTTTTGCTCCAACCGGGCTATTGAAGACTACTCTTAAGTTTGTCAAATTTTTTTTTACAAACACGCCAATGTGTACACGGTTTTCCATTAAATCTGAAGGAATATACGAATGACCTGCACTACCGACAATGGGAAACCAGGCTGGAAAACCTAGACCGCATTCGGAACCTTCTGGTTGCTAAAAGTATAAGGGGGGTTGTATGTGACAAGGATTAGGGTCGCCTGTCCAACCTCGTGGGTTTTCTCCGGGACTTCCGGTTTCCTCCCACTGCTAAAGACCCCTACGCGCAAGCGAATTATTGAAATAAAATTAAACCACATGTTAGTCCCGAAATGACCTAGTTTGTGTCGAGTGGACGTTAAACCCATCTCTCTCTCTCTCTCTCGCTAAAAGTATGCAATGGACTCCATTGTTTCGTACAACCCCAACGATCCGTCGCTTTTTCTTGCAACACCCTCCGTCCTGTATCACTGACAAAAGGGAACCACGCCGGAAAATTTCGATGAACTTTCTCAGCCAGCATCACGGTGCTCGTTCTATCTGAAGAGTATGACTGCACTATGTAGATATACTATTCAAAAAAAGTAGGGGATATTTGATTTTTAAGTGTTATTAAAGTCATCTAATGAAACTGACGAAGAAACAAATGACAAAATGAAATGAAGTTCACATTCATCGATTTATTCCAAATGATCGTTAGACTAAGTAAGGCACAGACTGACCATTATAAGGGTAAAATGATACCCGGGGTCAAACAGCAAAGTTACCACAGCATCACAACCAAGCCAGTAACGGGTAAATCCTCCTCTGTTTGCCAAACAAGCATTGATCCGACGTGGCATACTCCTAATGAGACGTCTAAGGTCGTTTTGGTCCAGATTGTCCCATTCCTGTTGCAACGCAGCAGCAAGTTCTTGGACATTGGCAGGACGTTGTTGACGTTGACGTAACCTCTGTCCAAGCATGTCCCAGACATGCTCGATGGGGGAGAGGTCGGGACTCAGTGCTGGCCAAGGTAATGTGGTGATGTTCTGTTGTTGGAGGTAACCTGTAACGATCCTGGCCCTGTGACATCTTGCGTTGTCATCCTGGAAGATGAAACGGCGGCCATGACGTCGTGCGAACGGCACAACATGGACTGCCAAGATGTTGTCCCGGTAGTACTGGCCTGTAACACGCCCTGCAACAACATGTAAAGCCGTTCTTCCAGCAACAGTGATGCCTCCCCACACCATAACAGAACCACCCCCAAATCGACCATGTCTGATGACGTTAACGTCTTGGAAGCGCTCGTTTCGACGACGCCACACCCTCCTACGTCTGTCCAAAAAATCAACAGTGAACCTTGACTCATCTGAAAACATCACATTGCTCCAGCGTCGATTATCCCAGTGTTGACGATCCCTACACCAACGACGTCTTGCCTGAATGTGATGATCTCTCAAACAAGGGATCACGCGAGGACGTCGGGCGCGAAGGTGACCCCTATGCAGTCGATTCCGAATCGTCTGGCCACTCACTCTCACACCAGTGTCTGTTTGAAGACGAGCGCTGATCTGATTTGCTGTGATGACACGATTTCTCAAGGCCAAGGTACGGATAAAACGATCCTGGGCTTGAGTTGTCGCCCTTGGTCGACCTGAGCGTGGTCTGTCCTGTACAGATTGTGTATCACGGTATCTGGACCATAGCCTGCTTATGACAGACTGAGAAACATTCATCGTCCGCGCCACAACCGCCTGTGTTGTGCCGATCTGTAGCATGCCAAGGGCACGTAACCTTTCATTTTGGGTAAGCCGACGCATATCAAAATTTGTTTTCTGGTCACTAAAACAATTAAACTGATGTTTCCACCCTGGAATTCAATGCCACAATGACTGTAACATTCAAAGTCAGAGTCGTGCAAATCTTGGGTTGGACCCCCATGATGATCCCAAGCATCACCTGCATTCCATGCGGTAGCTATTGGTGCGTTTGGGCGTCACATGTAACTGGAAATGTTTCTTCTGTTAGGTTCTATAGTGACTTTTTTCGTAGTCATTTGCATATTTTAGTATTATGCCCCCAAAATCAAATATCCCCTACTTTTTTTGAATAGTATAATTCATTCCTATGTTTTGCAAGTATCACTGCACTATATCTAAATAATTAATTTAGATGGTACACAATGGAGTCGGGTTGACGTGTTTACATTTAGATTTAAAAGTAAAAAAAGTCAATTCTATTTTGAGCACTGCTTTTAAACATATTTTGGGTTCAGTATTTTCTGAAAAGGTTTTTTTTTGAAGAGACTTAGCCTATAATAGATCCCCGGGCATTGTTCGCAACCTTGATTATACTTTATTGTGATCCTAGTAAGTCTAGAGTAAACTTGTCTATTGATCTACCTGCTTAGTAATGGAGTCGAATCTCCTATTTCTATAAACAAGTGTTTAGAGGGGAAATAGTAATTTGGAGACCCCCCTCCCTCCCCCAAAGATTCTATAATTAAAGGGGTGACCGGTGGGTAATAAATAAATATGCAATTCGGTTATTTATTTTTCGATTTGATAGGATTTAAAACGGCCAGCACTCTTTGATTTGGATTAAGCTAGAAAGCTGTCGATTTCATCGAAGTTTGAATATTGTTTGTTTTGGCTGAAAAAAAATGACGTCTAAAGATAAAACGAATGTGGCGATAAATCTGACTTTGTGTTCGACTGTCGACACAGAATATTCAAATTTAAAATCAGAATAAGTAAACATGTCGAATTCCGTTTTGTCAATTGTAATTCAAGTTTAATTGTATGGATCTTATCCTATCACTAATCAAAATAACTGTTGAGCTCAGAGTGTGTACAAACCTTGAGGCAAATCTACCGATCCATTGCTGGTATACTGGTATACACACGTTTTAAGTTTCTGTTGAACATCCATAACAAAAGCCGCTACCCCGTGGAAACAATTTCTGCTTATTCTTTTCGATAAATATTTAGCTCTAACCTGTTTTTGTATTTGATATCATTCAAAATTAAGGTGATAATGCCCCTTTAATCTCCTGTGGACTTATTTGGCTGTTGTGTAAACAAGGTGGGGGACGAATTACCTGCCTTGATTAACTGGGATAAAAGAAAACCGACCCACCTCTCTCCAAGCTCCATTTATCTTTTAAACTTTTTAACTTATTCTGCCCGCAGCAATGCCAGTTAATCTGCAATTAAAATTTCAATGTGTTTTTCGTCCAAGTTACTACGGAAGTTGATTACAAACGGTGCTTTGGTCTGAGTTGTGGAGAACGGGGTAAACACAGAGCTGTTTGGTTTTCACAGGTTGTAAATGTTCGGGCTTTTGAAGTTTCTAGAACTTGACGCAAGATGTCAGTCGAGTCAGGTGTGACTTTCACGCTGCACATGTATGTAAATATCACATACATGTACATATAGGTTATATGTATACATAGATATATCATTACCAACAGTGATATATGTGGTGATAAACCATACTTACATGTTAAAGATACATTGTGTAAGATTTAGATAAAGAGCTGGCCGTTCGTACTATAATAGTTCGAAAACAGATAATGCAAAATGAATATATTGACAAGTTCATTATTTTATTCTGATTCAAGTTATCACTTTTGAAGTTTTGACAAGATATGTGTATTAATTGTTTATTATCGTAGCGACGTTACTGGTATATTCGAGCCTTAGCCTCGCTTCTCCAGTTTTAAATTAAATTAAATTACCGAACCGTTCGACTATCCGATGGCATCAAGTGTTGGTTATGGTCTTCTCGTATTAATATTAAAATATTAATAGGACACTTGTAAATTTGGAAATGCCACCGAAGCCGCCCAAATAACACTGGGAATCGCCTTTAGCCAATTGTCCCTGCATGTGTACTTCCTGCTATAGACCACGTGGCAGTTATCTTCCTTTATAGACAAAACCGTCAGCAATGGGCTTAATATGACGAAATTGGCATTTAGCTACTAGATTGTACACACGGTATTATCAGTATCTCAATGCAACTTGTACAGTTCAGCATACACGTAGTTCTCCTGATTTGGCTGGTATGTGTTGTACGGCGGTTCTCCTACACCTACGATGTAATTCCATTTGCTCGAACACTTGTTCAGTTAAAAACCAAATCCAGATCACTCTAAAAAAAACCCAACCAAACCCTTCCCATCTACAGGTCGTACAATCACCCACCGAAGTCCCTTTAGAATTTTATGTAAAATGATTGAATCTTTTATAGAATCTTACTCTTTATATTTCAGGCCTACAAGAAAGTATGTCCTGTGGGAAAAGTCTGCGTTATACAAAACCTGTATTGGCCAAGAAAAATGGCGTTCCCAGTCTGTGTTCATGAACGAGAGGTACCCGGTAAGTTATCCGTCAGCCAATTCAAAGGTATTCCACGTGATAGAGACACAGTGTCTGTTTTCAGATCATGTTGAAACTTCCATATTTTATTTGTTTTCGTATGTCTGCCTAATCTTCCATTTTAGATTGTCATGGAATGTGTATAAAGGTCGGTTTCCATGTGCACGTTTTCTCGGCGTTTCCGCGAGTATTTTCTCCGGTTACGTGGAAACGGCCCTTTTACATGTGCATTAGACCGACTCTTTAGCAAGCGACAACGCCTCCTGAAACGAATTGGATTTCGTCCTCTAACCACGTTACTATAGCGACCAGAATTATCATAATCTTCGATGTAACGAAGGATAAATATAATCTACTCCAGGACATAGTAAGTTAGGTCGGATATTGTTTTTATAAGTATTTTATCATTGATTGAACCACTTTTTAATCACCCTTTCTTCTATTTACAGCCAAGTCTAAGATCTGCGAGTTGCCACCATCACCGGGTGGATGTGCGGCCAGATTCAGTCGTTGGTATTTCAACGTTCACACGAAGGAGTGCTCTCCCCTTACTTACAGTGGTTGCGAGGGAAATCTGAATAATTTCTACTCGAAAGAAAAATGTGAGGAGATTTGTGAAGTCAGTTTCACACCCGACGGCATCCCACCGGAAAGCATCTCACCGGAGACCACCACCCCGGAAATCGCTCCACCGGAAATTGTAAACATTGGAGTCAACTCTGATAGGAATACCCCCGATGTAATGGCCGCTCCTGCACCTTTGCGATTACAGACGGCTGACTTGCGACAGGCACTAGAATTAGAAGAAAGCGAAAAGGCTGAAATGGAAACCACCCGTAAGTTACGTAGAAAACACAGACGAGGACAAAGAAAGATTAATGGACAACGACGACGACGACGACGAAGACAAAGAAAACACAGACGTTACGGAACATCATCTGATCGATTTGGAGAATTGCGCGGACGAAAGACATCTTTCCTCTCGGCACCTACAGCGAATAATTCTAACAGCAATGGTTCTAAGTTCTTATTGCGCAAACTAAGGAGGAGGCAGCGAAAATTGGCAAACGCACGACGTTATTCGGGTTATGATGGATACTACGACAAAATCAGACTGTTTACACTTTTGGGTGGTGGTCATCACAAGAGAGCAAATACACAAGCATAAACTATTTCAAAATAAGAAATATACACGGACATACGGGTTTAATGAAAATTTAAACCCAATATTAACAAAGCTATAAATTCTGTCCAATATATGCAATAAAATCAGCATTAACTGATCAATTTCTATTTCACGAGATCATTTTGTGAACCTCAAAACTCAAAGCTGCCATATTTAGAAACACTTGGAATTTAGTGACGCTTTGGGCGGGTTTTATTATTTCAAGTGTGTTGATTGGTGACAATATAGATAACTAACCAATGGCGTCTTTCTATGACGTAGTGGATTCGTGGATATAATGCTATACAGCTGAAGGGTTTAGAATATTCATGCTGTGTAATGGAAACTAATGAACTAAGCTAAAGGACAACTACAGTCGATGTATTTTGTTATAATTTCATGTCGTATTACTTTCAATCTTGCAAGAACATAAGACTAATTTTTGTGGTCTTTATTTTAAAAAAAATATTAGTTAGCCCGCTTTTTGACGATTATCCCAGCCTCGTAATCCGGGCTGATTTTAGCCGCCGGCACTCATTTAAAACTAACTAGATATGCCTAATGAGAGGGGCCTAATATAGGTTATGCCTGTTTCCCAATGCCTGTTTAGATACAAATCTGAATAAAATATTGTTTGAAAAAAAAAAGAAATGATCAATGAGCAAAATATTAAAAACCTGCAACGACTGTAGTTGTCTTTTAAATATACTATATTGACTATGTTATTCAGGTGTTTTAAATTATGATATGAGAGGGTGTGTTAATTTAATTGAACACGACACGAGAAGAAAATAACATCATGTGTTGTAAATCATGTATATATTGTATAATTATTGTATATATTTAAATATATCCATTTATTGTCGTATTAGGCCATAAACTAATTACCCGCGTTTACGGTTACCCGAAAGACCCTATTTTTCTTAGCAGAAATCGTCGACCCTAAATTTTTCTTTCTCATTTCCTAGGTCCTATAAATCGGTCTTGGCATGGTTTTCTACATATACACTGAACTTTCTGTATTATAACAATCCCAATCGAAATTATTCTACAGAACCTTACTCAGTCATTAAACATGCATTATGCAAGAGCTAAATCTGCCTATTGCAGGTCTTTCTTAAGGCCTGAAATGTTTTCTAAAGTATTAATTAGACATTAATTAACTCATCCAGGCCTTAATCAACTCTCGATGGTATCAGATTTCTCCGATATTAAATAGATTAGAATGGTTCAGCAATACTTTGATTTAATCAAATATGGAGGACCGAGACTTAGCTTCGATCAACCAGTACGGTGGTTGAAATTATTGCACACGTCTGTCAAACCTTCAAAGGCTAATTTCTCCGCTTGCAATAGAGTAATTTGAATGAAATTTTCAAATTATTCATTTTACATCATCTACTTTCGAACTATTATAGCAAGAATGGCTAGTTCTTTATCTAAATCTTACATAATGTATCCTTAAGCTAGAAATGCTAGGAGATAAATCGTAAACGGTATTAAAAATGACACAGCAAAGACAATAGATTTCAAGTATCGATGTAGTTTGTTAAAAAAATTAATGTATTAGTTTACTTAGTTCTATCCAATCTTTAACCCACAAACCCACAAGAACAAGATTTGCCGACCGACCGACCTTATTCTTTGTGGCCACGTAATCGTAAACACAGGTATTTTTGTTTATTTGGCCTTACATAATAATATGTATTTATATAGATTTGTATTTATCTTACATTTGTGTTTCATGTCATTATTATGTACAATCGTCGTCATATGCATTGTTATTGATGAATAAATCTTTACAGGAAGTCACGCCATTTTAAAAGAAATTTTGAGATTGCTTAGGTAAGCATGCATAGCTATTGATTAAAGTTTTACAGGAAGTCATGCCATTTTAAAAGAAATATCTTAGCAAGACTGCTCTCCGATTGATAAGGTACAATTATCCTCAAGTTTCGTTTTAATGGTTGAATCGTAGACTTCCGTATATTTGTAACCCTTCACAAATCAATTTTATCAGTTATTTTAAGGTTTAAATTTAGGGATTTTGTAAATACTGAAAGGTCATTGTTAGCGATTTGAAATAATTTATTCTCGTTCGTATCTTTTAAACAAGTTTTAAAAATATTTACTTTTTATTTTGTAAATATCTTGTTATGCCTATACATGTATTGATATATATATATGTACACGCAAGTATATATGAAGCATCTGTATGTAGGCCTATACCAATACCAAAAAAGAAAGGTTAAATTAAATTCCACACGGACACCTAGATAGTTTCTATCACCTCCAACATAGCCGGGAAAAACCGAGGCCCCGTATACACATTGGCGTGCGAGTAAAAGAACCCATGACAGTGGGAATTCGAAATAAGAGTAGGCCGTAGGTAGGACGCTACCCCCCCCCCCCCCCCCCCATTTCATTATAGCCGACATCTTAATGCAGGCAATGTTGCGCCACCGGAAGCGGAGGGGCCCACAATTCCTTGGGCGTAATAGCCTACGAGGTCATTACGCGACGAGATATTCAACATTTTGACTGTTAATTAGTTTCGGGCAGTTTAAAACGAAATTCCTCCGCTGGTTGAAATATGGATTTTGTATCTAGAAAACATATGGTGCATATTTGATAACCGAAGCTACCAATATGGCAGATGGGGAAATCGCCATTCTCAGCGACACACGCGCAGGGGTCATAAAATAGCCAAAGTGTCGCTGCCGTGATTTGATAATAAATCCATTGCATTTCTTTTTTTAAAAAAAATCTAGCTTTAAGCAGTGTAGTTACTTGGTCTTGTTACTAAGTGGAAGCCACGGGGGCTCAGCATAAAGTACTCGGGGAGCTACTGTGGCTAAGTGAGTAAGACACTGGCTCGCTAGCCTGGAGGTCGCAAGTTCGCTCCCCGTGTTGGGAATTTCCGGCGTGGTTTCTCCTTGTCAATGGTGCTGAACGGAGGGCTTGACAAGAACAGTCATTTGGATGGGACGAAAAACCGAGGTCCCGTGTACATATTGGCGTGCACGTAAATGATCCCTTGGCAGTTGGAATTTGACCTAAGAGTAGGCCTAAGCGCCGCAATCTGGGCAAAATTTCCCTCATAGCACAATCTATGGCGTATGCCCGTCTTCATTAGCCGAGTGGCAGCAGAACAGTAGGACGTTAAACCCCATTTAATTTCATGTAAAGTACTCACTTACAAACTTAGAGATCCCACACTCGATCCTAGTATAGATAAGAAGTTCCGCGGGATACAATTTATTGTACTTACGTATCGTGATTAATTAAGTCAGTACATGGTCGTGCTTGTCTCGTAAAATAGTTTCTTTTCTTTTCACGACCGTAAAGATAGAGGATATGATGAGGCTAGGGTGAATGTCATACTATAACGAACCCCACGGCAAAGCTAATAAATGAGGTAAAGCCAAAAAAAAATTCCAAAAGTTAATCCTCGTATTATCTACTTGTTTTGTGTGGAAGTTAAAACCCAATCTCCTTGTAAACTTAAATGATATAGATTTATAATTATTATTATTAGCCTTAAATATGTAAATAAAACTCTGTACATTACAATCGATTTTATATATATGGCATAATATTTTGTATATTGATATTATGTCTACAATAAATGTTAAAATCAATTTAAAATTGGTCGTTGAATATGTGTTAACTTCATATAAATTTTGTCCAACAGTCACATTAAGCCATAGCCCTGGCAAGCACAGTGTCTAGTCGTTCAGATGGGACGAAAAATTAGGATCCTCTGTCATGGTCGCCATTTTTTTTTTTTTTTTAAATAAATCTGTAAGTTTAATAAATTATCATTGGAAATGAAATGGAATGGAGTTTAACGTCCTACTGTTTTGCTCCTAAACTGGGCTAATGAAGACGGACATACGCCATACAGTGTGCTATGAGGGAAATTTTGCCCGGACAGCGGCACTACTGCCTACTCTTATATCGAATTCCAACTGCCTAGGGATCTTTTACGTGCACACCAATGTGTACACGGAACGTCGGTTTTTTGTACCATCCGAACGACTAGACAGCTGTCCTTGTCAGGCTCTCCGTTCTGCATCACTGACAAGGGGAAAACCACGCCGGAAAATCTGGATGAACTTTCTCGGCCAATGCAGGGATCAAACACCCGACCTCCAGGCTAGCGAGCCAGCGTCTTACCCACTTAGCCACGTGATCCCCAAATTATTATTGGAACAAAGCAAATTAAGAACAAAGAGTGTCAGTGAAAACGAATGGAAAGATAGTTTTGCATAAGATATGGTTGATGATAGCTCTAGGATTGTACATTTTAGTCGCTATTTTCCTTACAGGGGTGGATGGATCCAGATAGGAGTGAAAAAGGGGGGGGGGGGGTTGTAAAACAACACTTTATGAGCAAAGTGTAACGGTCGTGTGCTTTATCCTTCTTTATCATCAGATGATGGGATGGGATGACCATTCAAAGCGCGAAATAATTATATAAACATTATATGATATCACAATTAATGCCTTGCTTCAATGAAGTTGAATCACAATTTGATCCTATTAAATCGTTATAAAAATTGACATCAAACAGGGTGTTGGATTTCTCTCCTTAAAAAGCCCAGTGTGTATGTATGCCTACGTAATTTAGAGACGATGATGGCATCATGCATTGTCAACTGTCAAATGTCCTTAACAGGAATCTGGCAAACCTCCTCCTGTGAAAATTCCTGTATCCGCCACTGTCAGAGTAGGATACATGTAAGGGCATAATTGATTTCTTTCTCTTCGTCTGTTTGTCAATCTACATGTTTTGTATTCTGGAACCACCGCCTTGCTGGAAATGGGCATCAGTTGTACTAGAGAGTGTATCGCAGGAGGGAGCGGCGGTGACTCAGTGAGTAAGACGCTGGCTCTCTAGCCTGGAGGTCTCGGTGGTGGCCGAGAAACTTTCTCGGGATTTTCCGGCGTGGTTTCTCCCTGTCAGTTGTGTAGGACAGGTGGCCTGACAAAGACAGCTGTCTAGTCGTTTGGGTGGGACCGATATCCTTGACGGTTGGAATTCGATATAATTTCAGGCCGTAGCACCGCTGTCCAGGCAAACTTTTCCACATAGCATAGTGTTTGGCATATACCCGTCTTCATTAGTCCAGTAGGGGGCAGAACAGTAGGATGTTGAACGCCATTTGACTTCTCATCTTTATAAACGGCATTCTTGCCTACTAAGATATTTTATTTAATTTACACCGATATGCGAAACCTTGATTAATATTTTATATCTCTATGACCGTCAACATTTATACTATTTGTTCATTGAAACAAAACATCACTAAAAAAATAACAAAAAAATATACATTAATCTAATAATAATAATACATAGGTAATAATTTGATATTTTACGCTGATAAAGGTCTGAAGGGCTATATATCAGTTTGTTATTCATCTCTATGGGGCCAAGTCTACATTGTCTATAACATATGGGATTTATTAAGCCTGTAATTATAATACACGCGAATACGTGCTTATAGAGGTGAATAGCTAATATCATATATTATCAAAAAACAGTTGGAGTTCAATAAGTTATATTTAAAGCACGGCTTCCATGAGTTAACAGATTTAACCAGAGGCCGAAGGCCGAGGGGTAGGTAAACCTGTTAATGAATGAAGCGTGCTATAAATGACTTGTAACATTGACAACTGCTCACCATGCACGGTGTTATTGCACAGAAAACCCACCCACTTCTCTATATGATTTCTACTAAAACTAGTGTAAACCAGCAAAAGTGTGCAATTACATTGAACATGTCTAGTTATTGCACGGTTAAGTTCCACCCAATCTACCAGAGGGAAAACAATCTGCTTATTCAACGAAAAGAACAATGGAAGATTTCCCATCCATGTTACAACTTTTCCCTCTAGTAGATTGGGTGGAGCTTAACCGTGCAATAACTAGACATGTTCAATGTTATTGCACACTTTTGCTGGTTAACACTAGTTTTAGTAGAAATCATATAGAGAAGTGGGTGGGTTTTCTGTGCAATAACACTAAGCTGTTGAGCTGTTGTCAATGTTACAAGTCACTTATAGCACGCTTCATTCGTTAACAGGTTTAACCCCTCGGCCGTGCTATAAATATAACTTCATCTAAATGGACACAGATCACCAAATATTCCTACGCCGTCACCCATCACCAAATATTCCTACGCCGTCACCCCGAAACAAGGGCCAAAGCTATTTTTAGTCTTCCTCTCCCTTTTTTTCCCCCTTTTGCATGGCGATTTTTGTTGACTTTTTGGTGTAGAATTGAGGAAAAGGGTTTGAAAATACATTTTCTGCCAAGTTTTGGTGAATATTCATAATTTTGATGCGGAAGGATACAAGAGTTGAGAGGTTGGTTACGTTGAAATGTAGGGCCTGAAATTGCATGTTTACTTGTCTCTACTTCCAGCTTGTGTATCTCAAGTTTTTCATGAAGAACCTCATACGTGCTTTTGGGCAAGTGGTTCCACATGTTGCTCCATCTGTGGTAGAAAGCGTTCTACCCAACGAAAATTTGGGAAAAAGTAAGAGCCGGTCTAAGATACGAGAATTAACATTGGAGTCAATGGGGAAATCTTTAGTGATCTGTGTCCAAATAAGACTCACTAATGGAACTTGGACTACTGATATGTTATCCAGGGAGGGTTTTTTTTAATGGGTAAGTGTCAGCTAAAGGGTGACTATAAGGAATCCTTTCCCGAGTTGTTGACAGGTATGTCCAATAATCGAAACAACACACGTGTACACGATCAGCGTCGATATATAGGGAATCAGGTATACTGACACACAAGTAATGAATGAACAATAGGCCTATGATCACTAAATAATATAATATGACCAGAGGTACTGAAACATCATAAACAATATAACTTGGCACCTAACACTCGGAGGGAATCACTGCATCATAAACTTGGAACCGAACACTCGGAGGGAAACATTGCATCATAAAACAACTTAGCACCGAACACTCGGAGGGAATCACTGCATCATAAAACAACCCAAACAGGAACCTACGAACACAGCCGATTACATTGGAATGAAAATGAAATGAAATGGGGTTTAACGTCTTACTGTTCTGCTCCGAACTGGGCTAATGAAGACGGGCATACGCCATACAGTGTGCTATGAGGGAAATTTTGCCCGGACAGCGGCACTACGACCTACTCTTATATCGAATTCCATCTGTCAAGGGATCTTTTACGTGCATGCCAATGTGTACACGGGACCTCAGTTTTTCGTCCCACACGAACGACTAGACAGCTGTCATTGTCAGGCCCTCCGTCCTGCATCATTGACAAGGGGAAACCACGCTGGAAAATCTGGATGAACTTTCCCGGCTAGCGAGCCAGCGTCTTACCAAATTACCCACGTGATCCCCGTTGAGCTGACAGACATGACGTCTAACAACAGTTTATTAATTCCGACGAATACAAAGTTTTGAGAAGGATTTGAAGCAAATTTTTGATAGATTTATTAGTCCAAATATATCATCCAATCACACAGATTTGAGACGGATTTGAAGCAAATCTTTGATAGATTAATTAGTTTGAATATGTTTTTAGTCCAAATAAAATATATCATCAAATCACAAACTTTTGTACGCGGGAAAGTATCTTTAATCTAAATGTTAAATCACAAAACAAATGTAGAAATAATCACGTGTTACGATATTCATATATTGTTTGATATAATAATATATATGTATGTATCATACATTATATACCTTATCATTCAACTGAATCGTGAAACACAAGCCAACAAGGTACAGTCAATTTCTTTGTCATTTTAAGGTACAATCACGCTTCTCACTTCTCTATCTATCTATCTTTCTAACGGAATCTTCTCTAATGGTCAACCGTTTTGCTTTAATTTCAGCAATTACTAAATATATCACACATATATGGCGGTTTTGCTTTAATTTCAGCAATTATTCGACAAATCACACATACATGTATATGGCGGTTTTCAGAACATTGTTGACCAAACGAAGGTCGAACAGAACACTAGTGATTGCTGGACTAATTCTATTTATTTACTGTATGTATTGTGTTTATAAACTACACCCGAGGAGCGTTACGTCATATTCCAACATCATTGAAAAACCTAAGAATTGCCCTAAGCTAGGATTTGCCAAACCACCGTTACCTGTGACAGCTCTGGCTAGCTACCCTGGTTCAGGTAACACCTGGACAAGGCATTTACTTCAAAAATCTACAGGTGCGTATTACACTGATTTTATACTCGTTAGCCCCTGCTGATTTGCCCTTTCACAATTGAACAAACACACGGTGTATAATGAGTTAACTTTGCCATATGAAAATTCTTAATGGAAAGGATAAAAAATTAATGGGGCTTTGAAAAATATTTAATAGTGTTTTCAAGGAGTTGATTTAATTTTATATCAATATCTCATACAAAGATAAAGTAAATGATCAACAAATCAGGAGCGATAGCGCCCAAAATATAAAGATGACGTGTAAACACATTAAGAAGAACGCGATTTTCCTGAGTTTTAGTCTGAACCCCCCCCCCCAAAAAAAAAAAAAAACAAAACAAAACACAACGCAAAACAATATTTATGCGATATCAAAATCCGTGGTGAAGTCCATGCTAACAGACAACATGGA